CTAAAACATCAGAGTACGAAGGCATTCATTAGCAAAGAGAGGACGAAGGCATACATTCAAAAATAAAAACATATTATATACAAAAGCCTGGAGGCATCAATTCATCAAAAACATAGGGCAAGGTGTTCATAAGGACCGGAGCCAAGAGTTAACAATGCTATTACAAAGGGGCATCAGGAGTTGTTCAGAGTACAAATTACAAATTGGCAGCTTCACCGTCGGCCCCTTCGGCGGCTTTGGAGGAGATCTCTTCCCCGATGACATCATCATCATCTCCGCCCATCATCATAGAGTCGTGGATCACCGGCCTCTCTTCGCCCGAGGGGAGGAGAACTCTCACATAAGGTTGCAAGGGGGGGAAGGCCGTATACTGCCGGATCAAATTGCTCGAGGGGAACGCCGAAGTGCTTGGAAAGCCTCCGGTAAACCAGATGCTGGGTGAAGAATTCACCCCTTGATAATAGATGTCGCCCTTTTCCACCATCCAATCGGCCCTGGGGCCCTTCACCCAGCCATCTACTGAAGACTTAACGACCGAGGCCACCCACTGCTGCCGCTCCTCGGTCTTCCAGCCCTCAGCCATGAATGCAGCAACGACATCCTCTCGAGCTTTGGAGATGGCTTCGGCCTTGGCAGACTCCGCCTCCTTAGCAGCTTTCTTGGAGGCCTCGGCGGCGACCCTCTCGGCTTCAAGTTTGGCCTCCTCCACAGCAGCCTTCAGCCTCTGCTTAGCCCCCTCGGTAGCCCTCCGAAGGTTCTCCTCCAGCTGAGCCACCTGCTTCACAGCATCAGAGTTCTTGAGGACGAGCTCCTTCATTTTCTCATCCTGCTCCGCCTTGTGGAGGCGCCACTGCTCGAGCCTTTGCGCATGCTCCCCGAGGGCTATGCAAGCCTGTTAAACAACGAACAGAAGAGTTAGGCGAATGTTGGAGAGGTATTAAATGTTAAAACATGGACAAAGGAAAAAACTTACAGTTAGAGAAGACCGGAAGATCTTGCTCTCGAGGGCCTCGTCGTCGTAGGTCGAGAGGGCCGCCTTATCCATCACCGAAGTGATCCCCCTCAGGAAAGCCTTCGGTACGGCCGAGCCGTGCATCACGGACAGCCAGGGAGAGTTGCAGAATCTCTCGGGGGAAGCCTCCCGGGGGAAGGTCTGTCTGAGCTGTCGCCGCGGTGACAACCGGGGGCTCGGGAGAGGAGTGATTCTCTATGACCACTAAGGGGGCCGCCTGATCAGCGACATCCCCGGGACCTCTCTGCTTCTTGGCAGGGGGCTCTACCCCCTTGCTGCTTTTCTTCTTCTTCGTGCCCCCCGGCCACATCAGCAACGGCAGCCACAGCGGAGGGCTCCGGTATCTCCTTCTGAAAGAAGGCCTCAACGGGCTGTTGGACCGAAGGGTCCTTCTTCTAAGCCTGGGCCTTGCCCCTTTTCTTCTTCAGGGCGAAGAGTTTCCCTGCGTCCATGTTCGCACCTGCAAACAACAAAAAGCAGTTAGACCAAGGGGTAGAAAGCGTGAACATGCAATAAAAAAACAAAGACAAAAAATCCCGAGTGCAAAAGCTCAGCGCCCTCGGCACAAACCTCCAGCTCCCTCAAAGGCTCTGTCCAACTCAGGGTACTTCTCGTCGGTCTCCCCAAGAAAACGATATCGCCGGAACCCGAGGGCATGCAAATCCTTCTCTAAGGTGCACTCTTTGATGGCTATATTTTTGTTCCGGCCCTCCGGGATTTTTGACAGGATCAGACTGTCTTTCTCAAGGGAAGCACTCATGATCTTTGGATGCCGACGGAAGCGGTCCCGCAACTCCCTCGGGAAAGGGCACTCGTCCAACTTCACATAACACCATCTGTCTTTCCATCCTTTGTTAGAAGAGGGCGCCTCTGTGAACAGCTTGAACTCGGATACCTGTTGTAGATTCGCAAACCCCTCGGCGTTTGCATGCCCCCCCGGGACTTGCAGAGATGGAGGAATCCGGCCATGTACGAATGGCTGTTTGGTGTCAGTTGACAGGGGACCAGGCCAACGTACCTAAGATATTCCCGAAGGAATGGATGCAGTGGGACCGAAGGCCCATGGTGTCCGAGAGGATATGCACCGATATACACTCTTCGGGAGCCTGGGAGAGGAGGTCATCTGGTCCTGGCATTATTACAGTACCCGAGGGGCCCACATGCAGTTGTGTGACATAGCACTCCGCCATGTCAGCCTTTGACTTGATCTCGAGGGCGGCGGTATTTAAGAAGAAGTAGCCCTCAGGAAAATCGATGGGCCTTCCCTGGTCGGCAACGCCACCCTTCTTCTTGGGAACGACAGCCTTCATTTTCTTCTTCTTCCCGGGGGCCACCCGGAGAGGTGCCGGGTTCAATGGCCGAGAGGTGCTGGCTTCACCGGCATCACGAGGGGGAAGAATAGCGACAGTCACCCTCATTCTCTCCTTGTCTTCTTCCTCCTCCGCAGTCTGCACAGCGAGGGCGAGCTCCTCGTCCTCCATCACCTGCTCGAAGTCCTCGGCTTTGGCTTCGGTAACGAGGACCTTCTGCATCTCCACAGCCACAGCAGCGTCATCACCCGCCGAAGACTCCTTGCTTGAAGGCTCAACGTCAGCGTATGTTTCCGCCTCAACTGAAGGCTCCCTCGAAATGTCTTGGGAATCACTTTGTGAAGACATTTTTGATACTAAACCGAGGGTTCGGAGGGAGATTCTAAAGGCTCTAAGCTACAAACACTTAATCTAAGGCCGGGAAGCGAAGTATGCAAGAATTGCCAAAAACGGAGCAAGAACTGACTTCTGAGAACTGGTTTTGACCGAAGGCTGGAGCTTCTCTCTCTAGAAAATTCGGAAGAGCTTCGCTAACAACAATGAGATCGCACAAGGGTCAGAGCTCAGGCATTGGGGTATTTATAAGCACCCAGATCCGGGCCTAGGCCGGAAATTGGGCCCCCGATGGAAAACCATCATTATAAACCGTCGAGTTGCCCAATCGGTGACGCCCGCCCACAGGCAGCCAACGAACGCACGCCACGTGGAGGCCCCCCTCCAACGCCTATATTTCTGACGTTACATCTTCCAACGGCTCTATTACAACGGCTATATTCTGGGGACCCGGGCTGTCTCCTTCACTCCACTTCATCAAGAGGAGCCCCCGGGTACACTTACCCAGAGGTGCTCCCGGCCTGAACCCCCCATACTACATCACAAGTGCCTTCGGGCTCACTCCTTCAGAAGCCCACAGCTTCACAACGGGCACACCCCTCGGGAACACTCAGCCCTCAAACACATTGAGGACCACGTAACCCTCGGGGAGCACACCTTCATCAACAGTTGCCCCCGGCTACGTAACAAGGAAACCCCTCGGGGCACCACAACCCCCAACTTGTCAACAAACAAAGGACCCCTCGACAACACAGGAAATATCACCTACATTCATCGCGCCCTCATTCTCATGAATTAAGGGCTCCCCTTCGGCATCTCCCAGGATATCAGAAGCGAGCCTTCGGCAAATCAACACACGCGCCCTCAGACAAGGATAGCCTTCGACAAGAATACTGCCACTCATTTCAGACCAGGGTTTCACCTTTTCGACTCATCATTGGGGGAATTCGGTGCACTCTTTTTCCCTCATTGGAATTTTTTCCCACAGGGTTTTTTCTAATGAGGTTTTTAACGAGGCATCCCCCCAAAATGAAACGAAAAGCGTCACCCCTCGGCTCCATACTGCAGGCAAGCACTACTCTACTCGTTTTACCACTTTACAAGTGCCTCAAGGAGTGGGGGACTGGAGGACCCCTTCGGGAAAAATCTCAAAATACAAAAATATCAAAAAACTCCCACAACAACAAACATGATCCCTCAAGTCCCGAAATGAGGGTAACTGAGGGACTGCCCTCGGCAGAAACATGCGAACAGAAAACTCCTCACAACTTTACAAGCTACAACGGAACAACGGCAGAAGACAAGCACGAATTACTCCTTTTCCCTCGAGTACCTTTCAGCAAAAGGAGTGAGGGACTCGTGATGGAGTATATGGCCCAGGGACCCCCGACCCATAGACTCCTGCCGCTCTAACCAAGACCCGATAGGCCCAGGAAGCACAGCAGGCCCAAATCACAGCGCCCCAAGTACCAAGCAGCCAACAAAGCACACTGGGGGTGCCTTCGGCCCCTTGGCCGAAGGCTCTAGATACGCACAAAAGGCTATTTTCAGCATACGAGGACACTGGGAGAAGACAGCAAAAACAGCAGCCCTCGGCACCTAGAGCCCTCGGCACCTAGGGTGCCCCCGGAAGGAAGAGTCTTCGGTCAATCATCTACGGCCGAAGGCTTCTCCTCGACAGAATCTCCCACCCACATGCGCTGGATCAACGTACCAAGTACAAACGTCACATCCAACCACCGCATTTAATGCGGCCACATGCGAGTGCCAGTGCCACCCCGTTGAGGCGACCCCTCGATCACCAGGATGATGACACGTGTCCCTATCTGACATTTATTACTACTATAAATAGCGCCCCTTTTCCCCATTTGTAATCCAAGCAAAACTCGCTCACTACATTCTCAGCAATATACTCCCTCTCTCTTACTTTTGCTCTGACTTCTCTCTAGTTGCTTCCCACAATAACCCTTCGGATACATACCCCGGGTAGACTATCCATCAAGGTGCAAAGTTTAATTTGGACAAAAAGTGGAGTACAAACTCAAATTAGCCCATGATTAATTAATAGTTTAATATCAAATCAAATATACACCGGTGGGCGTAGCTCAACTGGTAGCAAGGGAGTGCCACTGCGATGAGGGGTTACTATGCTAAAAATGCATAGGACCTGTCAGATTGAGATTATAGTCCAATTTACATCCTCCCAACGTACCGTTAGGTCGGGGTTGGGGTCTAAGGTACTGGGTGTCGTCATTTTTTTACGTCCTTTACTCCTTTAGACCAAAAAGGGTCCGATGCTGTCAAAGGCTCAAAGCTTTAGCCTTTATTATACGTTTACAAAGGCACACAGCCATCCCCGGGGCGAGTTGGCGACCCGACCCACTGTCTTTTTCCTCATTCTTTTCCCGACTTGAGGTATCAACTATCAAGTATCAAGTGTTCTGAGAGAGAAGAGATGATAAACAGGTTTAAGCTGAAAATTCTTCTCTCTCTCTTCGCTTTGAATTCAATCACTCTTTACCTCTACTTGTCCTCCCACACCAACCATTTCCGCCACAAATCGCCGCCGAACCACCACCTCCATTCCTCGGAAAACCGTTTTTCATCACTCGGGAACTACCCTCACTCCGCTTCATTGCGAACCAAACCCTGGCCAATACTGCCATCCTACCTCCCCTGGTCTCAGAAACCCGATGCCGCTCTCCGATCCTGCGAAGCGTACTTCGGAAACGGATTCACGCGCCGCGTTGACCTTCTCGGGCCATCCGCTGGTGGTTGGTTCGGATGTTTCCACAGCGAGACGCTGCAGAGCTCTATATGTGAGGGAGGGAGAGTAAGGATGAGTCCTGACAAGATTAGGATGTCAAAAGGAGGTGAGAAATTGGAGACGGTGATGGGAAGGGGCGAAGATGAGGAAATGCCGGTGTTCGAATCTGGAGCCTTTGATATCTATGTGGCTGATCCATCCAAGTTGGGGAAGAAGCTCGTGGATCAGGGTTTTTTGAATCGTTATGTGCCCCAAGGTTCCATTGGGAAACACACTATGCGTTGGTTGATCGATTCAATTCAGTTGGTTTCTGAAGATGACTTCCAATGCACTGAGGTTAATATCAGGATTTCAGTTTTTCAATTTTTTCTTTATATATCTATTCCAAGTTTTTACCTTTAGAATTTTTGGTGAGATGATCTAAATGTAGCTGTACTGTGATTTCATGCTTATGCCTCCAAAGAGGTAGGTTCCAAAATAGAGTAATAGATCCTGAAGGTACTTGCATTAATTTCATAAGAGCTTGAGAGAGTTTCTTGAGGATAATATGCAATTGTTGCTTAGGGGGCACTCCTGGGTATGTCCGTAGAAGTTTGCTGTGCAAAACTGACTTCATAGCTTGACCGGTCAGTCTAGATATTTTATTTATACCTAATGGGAAAATATGGTGCTGAAGCCTTGGTTCCTCTGCATTCTTACCTTTTTACCTTTTAGACCTGAAAATTCCTGTATTATTCTCTGTGTTATTAGTAAACAACAAAAGTAATAAAAAACTGATCATTTGGATAGGGATGAGTTCCTGGATAGATGGTTTAGACTTGAGAAAATTCCCAATATGGGAGTAGAACATAAATACTTATGCTAAAATAGGAGTCCTACTTTGTCAATCATGTTTGACACGGAATTTTTATGTAAGTGACCATAATACCCCTTAATTAAAAGAAGTTGAAGACTTCCGTTTTTGTAATGAAAGCTGGATTATTTTTTTGCAATTAAAGCTAGATTATTTATTAGCTATTCATTAGTTAATACGGAGCATAAAAAAAAATACAAAAATAGAGTTTTACACAGATCTGGTCTACATACTACCACACCAGACTTGGTGTTGCCGCCGCTGTATTTTCCACTTCCGTATTTTCCAGCGCCTTTGCCGTCGCCCTCCGGTGAGCCCTCCGGTGAGCCCTCCGGCGAGCCCTCCGGCGAGCCCTCTGCTTGGACGGCCGCCATCTCCTCCACCACCACCACTAATTCTTTTAATGTGTCTACTTCCATATTAGGCAAGTTAGTTGCCTGCTAGATAGATTAAATCATAATCTTCATTAAAATATTGAAATGTTATTTAATGTACTTTTTTTGCTTCTTCTCTTTTAATTCTCTTTGAATTTTTCTTTCACCTTTAATTTGTTCTTTTAACTTTTTATTTTATTTTTTACATTGAGTTAATTTAATGAATTTGGATCTGAAAAATATATAATAATGTTTATTTTTCAAAAATGGCAAAATTATTTTAAAAATGTCATGTTTTTCAACATGTTTGGCAAATAATGTCATTTTACATTTATGAAGTGTTTTTCAATATGTTTGGCAAATAATGTCATTTTACATTTATAAAGTTGACATTAATTTCGTAAAGATGGCAATTACATGAATATGTTAGGCAAATAATGCCATGTTTTACAAATAATTTTGCCATCTTTTTTTATGCAAAATGACATTTTTGCCAAACATTTTGAAATCATTGCATTTGTAAAATAAGTTTGCCATTTTTTTTAAATGAATAATTTTGCTATATTAATATATTTAATATCATAAAAATGAGATTGCTTTCAAAAAAAGTTTTCGAAAAATAAACATTAGTTATAGAATTTTCAGATCCAAATTTCTTAAATTGAACATTTTAAAATAAACAAATCAAAATTAATAAATACAAATCAAATTCAGTTTTATTCAATCACTGGATGTTTCTATTTTAATAATAAAAAGTCAGATCTGAAATAATATTTGTCAAATTTAGAACCTCAAAATAAGATAAAATTAAAAAATCAAAATGAGAGGTTGAAGGAGAAGAAGAAGGGAGAGAAAGAGAAGGCTGAGAAGAAAAAGACGTACCTTTGAGTAGAGTTGACTGGAGATGGAGTTTAATTTTCCGTTCACACCTGAAATTTACCAGGAACGGTGGATTTTTTAAATCTGAAGAAGAAGAGGAATGGTGAAATTGACTAAGTTGAAGAGGGAAGAAAACAAATAATTAATATTTAAGAAGGAAGAAGGGAAAAACTGGAGAAAAAGATGTGGAAGACATCTTGAAGATGTGAGTGACGGATGAAGAAAAAAGATAAAGATGGAAGAGAAAGGAGAAGGTGGGAGAGATTAGACATGTGATGGGTGAGGAGAAAAGTTGTGAGAAGAAAGAGAATAAATGAAGGATGAGATGCAACGGAACGAAAAAAATAGGATCAAATATAAAGTGAGGGCATTTAAGGAAAAAAGAAAAATAATTGGAACCGGCGGCAGAAAAGAACTCCTATTTAGGGAAATAAACTTAACAGCTCCTATTCTTGAACATTTCATATGTTTAACTCCCATTAATGGTAATTTCTTTTTAGACTTCAAAGTAGTGGTGGAGTAAGAAATTGTGGTGTGGCTGGGTTAAGAAAGATATGCGAGAAAGATGGTATTGATGATGTGGAGGAGCTTGATCCTATATGAGGTTAAAGATGGACATTAAATTACATGATGGATATCATTTAGAACCTTCAAAACTTCTTGCTAAGTATTAGGAATGAAGTACAAGAATTGCACTCAGTGAGCTAGACAATTGACTCCTACACATTCTATGACCATTTTACTATAATTAGTTCATATCCTCTTCTAGATGTGTTTTACATTTTCTGGGAAAACTGTACTTATTTCAGTGGATTGAAGAGCCAACACTTCTCGTGACACGCTTCGAGTATGCAAACCTTTTCCACACTTTCACAGATTGGTACAGTGCATATGTGGCTTCTAGAGTGACCGGCTTACCAACTCGGCCTCATTTGGTCTTTGTGGATGGCCATTGTCAAGTATGTCTCCATATTATAAGTGTATCTATGAATGTTACTCCCTGTTGTTAAGTTATGATGAATACCCCTCCCCCCTTTTTCTGTACAAAATATCCTATTTTCAAGTAAAGCAATTATATTTATGAGTAAATTCCTTAAAAAGAGTCACAAAGAAGTTACCTATGATTAGTTTAGTAAAAGAAATATAAACTTATGAAACATAAGTTGGAGTGTAGGACTGATCTCCTTCGTGTATATCGCAAAAAAAATATACATTGCTGAAAAATGACTCCTTTTTTGGAACATACTTATGTAGTATACCAACTATGCTGAAAAGTGACTCTTTGGGGCAGTGTTGTTGGGCCATGGGGTGGTGGAAATATAGTAGGCAGCCTTATGAAATTTGTCTTTCCACACTTTTCCCACACATGTAGTCCCACCCAACTCATGTTTGAGTAAGGAGTATTTTATTTACATTGGAGCCAGGGGAGCTAAGCCCCTCTTCATGTCCTCTCTTCGTTTTCTTCCTCTTTCTCTCCAGCTGGAGAGGAGTCAGATTCACAGTTCTCTCTTTACTGATATTTTCTCCCAGATAGCTGGGCATGGTTTGGTCTCTTATAATCTGTCCACTTTGCAATAAAATTCTCAGACACAGTTGGAAGAAACATGGAAAGCCTTGTTTTCAAGCATCAGATACGCAAAAAACTTCAGTGGTCCTGTTTGCTTCCGCCACGTCATCCTCTCACCTTTGGGGTATGAGACAGCCCTCTTCAAGGGTCTGTCAGGAAATATTAACTGTCAAGGAGCCCCGGCCCGTGATCTGTGGGAAAACTCTAATGATAAGAAAACCGCACGGCTACACGAATTTGGGGAGATGGTAAAGGCAGCTTTTGGGTTTCCAGTGAATAGGCTGAATAACAACATCTCTTCAAGGCCGGCTACAGGTCATAATATTCTCTTTGTAAGACGCGAGGACTATTTTGCCCATCCCCGTCACGGTGGGAAGGTACAGTCAAGGCTTACCAATGAAGAAGATGTGTTTGATTCTGTAAAGAACTGGGTAGCATCATCATCAAACAATTTCAGCTGCAAGGTAAATGTAGTCAATGGGCTGTTTGGACACATGTCAATGAAGGAGCAAGTTCGGGCAATACAAGATGCTTCGGTCATTGTGGGTGCTCATGGCGCCGGTCTGACCCACATTATATCCGCGATGCCCCGAACGGTAATTTTGGAGATCATTAGCAGTGCATATAGGCGTCCCCATTTTGCTCTGATTGCACAATGGAAGGGTCTAGAATATCACCCCATTTTTTTGGATGGGTCCCACGCCAACCCTTCGGTGGTGATTGACAAGCTGAACAGCATTTTGAAAGACAGCTTTGGGTGCTGACTGCAAGAAACTCGATTATGATCTTGGGCTCACTGAAGGTGGCGGTTTGCGCTTAGTTGACAGCTGAATCACGATTGTGACCACTAACATAAAGAACCTAGAGGAAAGTACCCCATCTGCGAGTAAAGATCACCTGTCGTGTAATTGTTTTCATTATAAAATACGGAGTACATTTCTAGGCATTTTTAAATCTAAACATGATCTCATTTATATTTATACACAGTATTTTTTGTACAATTACAAACTTTGTTTTCATGGTTGTGTGTGCTTCACCCATTTGAAATAATACACGAAAACCAATTTATTTACGGAGTAATACACGCACACACATGTATTTCACACAACATACAGACCAGTGACTCCTTGCAGCATTTTAAAAGTTATTGATACAGCTAAAAATATATGTTGAGTGCTACTGAAATAGTGAAATATACTCCGTATGAAATTGCATTGATATCTTTAACTGGAATTTTATCAACTACTCTGTAATTTATGTTGAGTGCTATTAAAATATAGTCCTACACAGTTAACAATAAATCAATATGCATACATGCATACATTCGTCCAAGTAGCATTCTTATGTTTTTAAATGAGATAACCCTGTAATTAACAATACTTATAAGGAGATAAGTTAAATAAAAAGAAAAGAAATACTGCTTCAAATTCTTTTAAATGGAGCCACACACACACACACACACACACACACACACACACACACACACAGATATATATATATATATATATATATCGATCCTTTGGGTGAAATGTGGTTTTCAGCATGATTTTAGCCCGGGCAGCCTCACCGATATGATCCTGCTACAATGTGATTATTATAATGTACGTTGTTGGCCGGTCTGAATGGCCCTGCTTGTTGTACGAAGCAGCTTCTATCATTATTATTATCCACTTCAAATGCCGGTTCGAGAGGCGGCGGGACATGATGATGATAAGCAGGCGGCGGCATAGTGGTATAGTGGGAGTGGTGATGACTCGCAGGTTGCGGGTAGCACGGCTGCACACCAAAAGGTCCTCGTTGTCCCTGCTGCTGGTCGTGCTGGACATAGCTTCCGCCGCCGCCGCCGTTGATGAGGAACAAGTTACTAGAGCAGAGGCCGGATTGAACCCAAACAAGTTCCGTTGATTTTTCAGCCTTTTTCAGCATTTTGAGGAGCAGGTTCAGATCCCCCTTCCCCGTCACCATTATCTTCCCGTTTTGACTCATCTGGAAGCTTCTCACTCCTGCACCATTCATACTATAACTTTCACTCCTGGAGTATATCTTTCACTTCTCAATCTTTTATATGAGTTTAGTTTTATGAAAATTACAATCATCTAGCTTAGTTTTGTTTTATGAAAATTATAATCCATAAATAATTTTACCTCCGCCCCACTAACATTGGAACATGAGTATGTGACACAATTCTTAAGAAAAGTGAGTTTATGCGATTTCTATTGAATCGATAAAGTAAGAACAAAGTAGGAATAATTTAGAACCACACAAATTTATCAAATTTGGTATGAAACAATATTAGCGGGACGTTAAGTAATTACGAAAAAACATCTCGCCAAAGTTTATGATAAGAAAATTAAAATACTCCCTCCGTCCCGCAATAAACTTTCCACTTTCCTTTTTTGGATGTCCCAGAAATAAGTTCTCATTTCCTTACATGGCAAGTTAATCTACATCAAAACAGTGTCAAACAGTGTCAAACAGTGTCGAAACAGTTCGGCAAACAGTGTCGAAACAGTGTCAAAACAGTAAAATTTACCTAATGGTAAGTTTATTTCCTTAATATGTTTGTATGTCAAACTGTGAAGTTCATTGTGGGACGGAAGGAGTAATAAAGTTTTAAGTGACGAAGAGAGTACTATATAGGGACCGATGATGGAATATATGGGGGCCTAGTCTGAATTTTTTTACAATGGGGGCCAACTTCTAAAATTCTAATATACATGGTACTCCCTCGTCTCTATATTAAAACTCTCATTCATTTTACACACAATTTAAGAAAGTGTGACTTTTTGACACTGTTTTGTACTATTTAGGGATGATCAGAAAAGCAAAGAAGAACTTTTATTGAGGAATGAAGGTAGTATTTTTGGGTGCTTATAAATATTTATGCATATACGTGTACATAAATAAACTACGGAGGGAGACCTCCTCCGGCACCTCCGTACGTGTGTCTAACATTGATAGGGGCAACACACAAACTAACACAAAAAGTATATACTCCCTTCGTCCCGGAATTATCTTCATTCTTTCCTTTTCAGTCCGTCCCAAATTTATCTTCTTTTTCCCTTTTTGGTAAAGAATATGTGGTTCACAATCATTCTTACACATTTCTCTCTCCTCTGCATAACTCTTCACCACACAAATCCCACAATCTTAAAACCCGTGCCCGGTCAAAACCGGAGTTAAATATGTATGTAGGTGTATACTATCATGTCATGTTACACAAGAAGTATATAGTAACGTTCATATCATGTCAAATTCCTTTTAGGCCAAAACTAAACCTTGATTATGATCCACTAGCTAGTTGCAACCAGTGGCGGATCTTGCAACCGTATATGGGGTGTTAAAAAAAAATTATGGTTAAAATATTGAAAAATAATGTTTTTTGATCCCCTTCCATCATTTGCAATGGAGCCAAAGATTCACTATTTTTTGACGTGAGAATATGATGGAATAAAGCAAAACGACTCACTAAACTATCTGCGCTTCTTTGTTATGAAGCAGCAGTTAGTTCATGCAATTTTGAACGCGATTTTCATTGTGGGTCATCCGGAAACAGTCTCTCTGTCCTTTGGAACAGGAGTAAGAATACGTACATCCGACCCCCCTTACCCCACCATAGGTGGGAGCCTTTGTGGCACTGGGGTAAATGATTATGATGAATGTTTTTTGATACCACAATTAAAAGAATGTAATTTTTTCAACCACAAAATTTTGAATTTTCGTCTGAATATTCTTGAACAATAGCACGTCCTCCACTGGTTGCAACTGGTAGATTATAAAAAAGTTCAAAATTTTCCAAGTTTATATATAATGTTTATGAATTCTTTTGGGACTAAGGCTTGGATGTTGTTGTTTTATATATAATGTTTATGAACTAATAGTTCGATCATATATATACTAATGAACACATACTATAAACTCCCTCCGTCCCATCGGACTTTACCAACTTTCCATTTTTTGTTGTTCCAAAAAACTTTACCACTTTTCTATTAAAGCAACTAATTTGTGCTTCTGAACATTTCTCTCTTCTCTGCACAAATTTCAACCACACAGTTTTTACTATTCTCATTTCTCACTTACTTTGCACTTGGTAAAGTCCGTCCACGTGGAGGGAGGTAGTATCATATAGCGAATTATAATTAAGAAGAAGAGAGATGAAAAAAATGCATACCCTTATTGCTTCTTAAGATAGCCATGATTGCCTTCTGCCACCTTGGAGACTTGATGTCTACTTTTAAGAGACAAGTCATGAATGTGAGGTTTGCCTCGTTGGGTTTAGGAGGGGGTGGAGGGAAAATACTGTTCTTAATTTTCATGCAATATGCCCTAATGCTTTTGCATGTTTTCACTATATCCATGAATTAAACTTATAAAACTAGATCGATCGCAAGTGTATATATACTACGTACACTTATACTAGCCTGCAGATCATATATAGTATATACTACATGAATTAGTTTATTGGAATTTAATTTAGAAGAGAAGAGAGAGAAAGAAAGCTATTATGGAGCTCACTTGACATGTTATATTTATACATCCATATATATAATAAAGAGTTTTCCCATGTAGGTCCTCTCTTTAATTCAATATAAATCATTCATCAGTTATATATTTCCGGGAAAAATAATTTTTACTTTATATCATTTATTGACCTACTATATATACACGGAGTTTAATATAAATCACATCACTCCATCTTAATTGTGTGATTTTAATTAATTAAACCAATAAATGATGTTAACTTGCTGAGGATTCTCTTAACATATATAGTTGGGTTTGGGTATTTGTTTTTAATTTCCCTATATTATAGTTTTTCATTTTTTTTACATTGAAATCATTTTGAACTCCAAATTAAAAAGTGTTGATATATATTAATTAATAATTAGCCCGCGTGTGTATATTATCTCGTCCTATAAAATTTTGTCATTTTTAATTTTTCAAGTCAAGATAATAAAGTTTGAACTATTATTTCGATTAGAATAAGATTTCGGAATTACAAATTTTATATTTATTTGAAAATACTATTAACAAAGAACACTTCTTATATCATTTTTATATTATAAATAGTTACCTATCAAAATATATAATTGGTCAAAGGTGAACACAGTTGACCAAAATATCCAACGGTGACAAAGTTGTAAGGGATATGTTGAGGTTTAGTCCCGTAGATCCGAAAGCCCAACACAGACTTTGGATATATCAGGAAATGGACAATAATTCGGTATGTAAAAGAAAATATCAAAGATTGACAATCGAATGCTCAAAAACCCACTTGTATTAATTGACCTGTTTGATTACAAGGAAATTACCCGAACGGTACGTCGGATTGATGCTTAATACAAGAAACAAGAGTAATAAGACTATTCTAGGGCTTGAGTATTAAAAAGCTAACCCTTACAATGATATTAAACCTTCTATTTATACTAATGGAGAGTATGGGATGCTTTATGCTGATTGGCCGATGTTCCACCGACTTGATCATCCATGCCTCCACTTGATGATGTCACAATTTGGCATTAATTGCACCTGGCCACCTGCTGGTTGTCCGTTGTCCGTTGAACATCAGTATGTCTGTTTTTTGGGCCAGCCTTTACTTGGCTCGAACCTCGTTCGATATGAATATCTCACTGGGCCTACTTATCATAAGGTAGTGGACTCGTTGTTTGGGCTGGATGTCCTGGGCCTTTAATCCGGGTATTGGGCCTCCGGGTCAATATCCCAAGAGGATATAAGAGCATCTCCAATGCTACAATGTACACGGTGCGCATGTGGCATGAAAGAGATAGACACAAAATATTGATTTTATAACATTTCTCTCTCATTCTTTCCACAGTCTTATGTGTTTTTGGTAAGTTTTTGTCTGCAATGTCAACCACAATGTCTACATCTAGACACCGTTCTTGACATTGTGAAGAAAAACTTACCAAAATGATGTAAAATCCTTCAAATAAGGAGAGAGATATTCTATTTATTGTTTTTTAATTGGTTATTTCTCTTGTCACGTATGCACCGTTAAGGTTTTAACATTGGAGATGCTCTAAGAGCATTTTATTTTATTTTAATAGCTTACCTTAATTACATACTCGTATCTCATACGCATATGGTATCTAAATTATTTCCTTCCCTTGAGATCTGTTTAGTGGCTAGACTTTGTTTAAATTACGAATAGATATAAGAAAACTTAATCTCATATATTCTCGTATTCTTACCTTAATTATCACTATACCTTCTTTAAGTAGCTATCTAAATAAACGATTTTTTAGTACACATTATTGACACATCACATTTATTCAATAAATTTTAAATAATCTCAAAGTTTAAAACTCTTCATCAACAATAATACTCAAATAATCAATTTTTTCCAGACATGCATTAAATGTAATTTAACTATAATCTAAAATAATCTGGGATTGTGATAGTCCCAAAACTTAACAATCAAACAATCATAACAAGTAAAGAAGAAGCAGATAGAAAGATATGAGATGAACAAACGAATCTGGTATACCGTGTAGAGTGTCACTGCTCTCCCTTAGGAGAGAGAGCAGCGGAAAACCTAATCTCTTTATATCTGCGCCTCTATTGTCTAAAGCCTCAAATCGTTAGGGTTCCCTTAAGTTAGCCTTCTTTTATAGGAGAAGTTGGCTAACTTACGGGTTACAAAGAAGCTAACGGGCTGATACACATTTGTGGCCCGTATTACACGTTTAATTAATAACTACACAAATGCAAAGATATTTAATTAGATTGGACACCATAAAATATTCCTAACAATCTCCCCCTTGGTGTTCAATCAGCATTGCAGCACAAATATCTTTGTCTTTACTGTTATTGAGCTTCCTTTGTCTTTGAACTTGACTTTTTGAGAAGGCTTTATGAAGAAATCCTCACAATTTCCCCTTTGATGTTTTCTTGGCTGTTTGATTTTTGATGCCGGAGTTTGAGGAATCTTTTTCTTGTAATCTTTGCCTTCCAGAAGTTGCTCTTGATCAGCTTGGATGAAGTCCGGTGATGCCTCTAGAATGAATGTTCTGATGATTATCAGGGGCGCACAAGATTCATCTTCAGGACACGAGTATTTGACCTCTGTCTCCTCCACAATGTAGTCTTTTTGACTATTTGGAATGAATGCATTTGAGAAGAATTTGTCTGTGGCACAGCGGAACATAATGATGGTTGACTTGTGAGCATAGCTGACCATTTGAGTTGCGGAGATAGTAGAGAGAGTGTTGGAGGAAAGAAGTGTCCAAGAATGATTTTTTTGAGAGTTAAACAGCATGTGGAACACTCTCCTCCTCATGACGGTCCGATGAATCGGGGCCTCATGCCTTTATTCTTTTATTTTGTGGAAATAAAACAGGAAAAACAAGCAGAATGTTGAAATGCAAAAACCGGATACACTGATGTGTTCCGTTAACACAACATCAATGTAAACATCGATGTGTGGCTTGTATATAATGATAGAAGCATTATGAAGCATCCGAAAAGATGTCATTCTGGTTGTTATGGCATGACCATAAAGGTCAAGAAAGATAATGTAGCCCCCCAGGGTCGTGTAGACGCCCGTTATCATCACTATAAAGAAACTGTGAAGCGATGGCCTGAAAATTTTGGTGATTCTTATGTTGCAACAACATAACTTCCTTCCAATCATTGGTCTACATCTGTAATAGATGAGCCCTATGGAAGTTCTCGCGGGTCATGTAGACCTGCAACTGACTCAAAAAGTGCGTCTGTGTCTTAGAAAATTTCAAAACATTTGGGAGTGAGTAACTAGACACGACGTGATCAATGAAAGTTAGGTGGCATGGGGTTGAGGCCACTGTAGTCAGTATTACTTGCCTCGGAAGGAGACAATAATGAGAGATGCGGTTCCCCGTGAAATATGATTAAGCACATGTCTGTTGGGAGACAAGTGAGTGGTCTTGGGTAGGGTTAAACATGCACTGTTGGACAAGATGAAGTGACTTCTACCCGGGATCTGAATAAATTCAGTCCTGAACCTATTGGGATTGTCCAGAGTATTTGAGTGGCTAGGAGTAAATGTTCAATGGATAGCAGGCAATTGAGGTAGCAAACTTATCATTGATTATGGTTTTCTTGCTCACTTGAGCCTTCTGCTTCCTAACACTCATAATGATCACTCACTCACTTACTCTCGGCTTTGTCCCTGTGGTAGGCTTAGTTGGGTTTACTAAGCCATAGGAACATGTTCTCTCATTGATTTTCTCTCTGTACTCCCCCTCAACTGGAGCACTCGATATGCTTTGTCATTGTTAGGCACCGGGGAGGATAACATTGAACAACCCCCCTAAAATATTGCATCCGTTGAGAGATTCCTTGCTTTGTCGGTGTAAGGCGTCAGAAGGAGAAAACTGAAACTCCCCCTCAGAATGTGCAAGGTTTGATTGCTCACCGCTCGTCATACCCGCCATGTGTGTGGAGAAATCTGGACAGGTACCACACATGATGGTTTCCCTAAGCTCATCATTTGGAATTTCAGCATATTTGAGGATCACACAATGTTGATGAGTTAGGGGAGGCTTCAGTAGTTGATTGTTGATTGTTGTAAGATGACCGTTAACGCGAGGTTGATTGAATTATCTACGATTTTCGGACCTCTACGGTGGGGTTTAGAAAAGCTTTGACCTCAGGGTTGACTTTGAAAGAATTTGAACAGATTTGCCTAAGTTTTGACCTGGACATCGGTGATTTACAAAGTTTGTCGAAAAACTAACCTTTCGACCCTCAAGGACTGCGCGTGAGGGCCCGTAAGAATGGGTTCTGGGGCATAGCCCGATATTAATGTAGATCTTTTTGTTAGCTTTCCAACAAAAAAAAGGTCTCTTAAATCGGATCACCGAGTCAAAAGTTATGGCCAAAACAGTGCGGTGTCGCATAAAATCTCTAATTTTGAGTTTTTGAGAAATTTCTTCGAAGTTGAGGTTCTCGATGTTGAATATCGGGAGCAGGTGGAGTTTAAACAAAATTCTAAGGCAAAACCTCGAAATCCTAATCTTGAGGTTTAAATCTCGAGATTACAATCCGAAGTGGAGTCTTCGAGCGAACAACCTTCGGTGAGTGGTGATTCCGCTGTGGCTATGGAGGTGCAGAAGGATCTCGTCGCTGAGGCCGAGGCCGAGGACTTTGAACAAGTCAATGATGACGAGGAGCTGGCCCTCGCTCTTCAAACTGCGGAAGAAGAGGAGGACAAAGAGAGGCAAAATGTCACCGTCGCCATCCTTCCCGTACGCAATGTTGGTGAGGCCAGCAACTCTAGGCCCTTAGACCCGACGCCTCTCAGGGTGGCCCCGGGGAAGAAGAGGAAGAAGACGAAAGCTGCGCCGAAGAAAAAGCAAGCCGTCGTCGATGTTGGGCAGCCGGTGGGCATACCCGAGGGCTATTCCTACCTGAACACGGCCGCCTTAGAGGTGAAGACTAAGGCCACACAGGGGGAGTACATGGCGACACAGTTCCTGGCTGGGCCCTCGGCGCAGGTGGTGGAGCCGGGGCTAGATGATGTGTTACTACATGCCCCCGCTGGTTGCTTCGCGATGCATATACTCTCGGTGGAGTTGGGCCTCCGGTTCCATCTTCACCCCTTCGTGCTCGAATACCTTCGTTTCGTCAAGCTCGCCCCTTGCCAGCTGACGCCCAACAACCACTCCCATATCGCCGGCTTCCTCTCCTTGTGCCGGAGCCGAGGGGTCCCTCCTACCTTGGACCAATTCTTTTTGTCGTTCAACCTATGCCGATGGGGTCACTCAAATGTTGGAGGCTTCGGCAATCTGCAGCAGCTTCTGGGTTTTAGGCTCTTTGACGATGTGCCTTCGTCCCGTAAGGGATGGAAGGACAAGTTCTGCTACATCCGCTTGGCGGAGAACCCCTTCCCTGGCCCACTTCGCGATAGCTTCCGGAGGCATCTGAAGGTTGAAGGAGCCATCCTCGAGAAGAATGGGAGAAAGCTGTCCAAGAAGCCAGAGGGGTCCGAGAAACATGTGTTAATCAAAGATGCCACCCATCCGGACCAACTGTATTCCCTTGGCTTCCGGCGATTATGTCTGGTGGGGGAGAAGGATGAGAGATATTCCCTGATTGATTGGACCTACCAAAGTGCTGAAGGTTGCAGCCGAGGGCTTTCTTTTTTCATACTTAGGATTTTTTTCCACTTTTCCCTTTTTTATTGCCTGTTTGTAGTAATAATCCAATACCATAATGCTTCCTTTGTTTTTCAGGACCCGATATGGATGCCAAAAACCTTGCCAAGCTGAAAAGGCAACTGGCCAAGGAGGGCAAGAAGAAGGAGGCTCCGGCTCAACAGAGGGCCGTAGACGAGATCTTCCCGAAGGCGGGAACTGGGAATGATGGAGGGCCTTTGGTGAAGGCTACTGTTGGTGAGGATGCAGGCTCTGCTGCCGAGGGCTCCCCCGTCGGGGAGCTTAAGAGAAAGCATGCTGGGAAGGCCGTGGTGCCCCCGGAGGGCAAGAAGCAGAAGAAGGGGGCCACTGAGAAGAAAGAGGCCCCCGTTGTCATTGTCGAGGAACATTCCTCCTCTGAGCCCCCGGCTCAGGTTGCTGGTGCGTCATGGCCCCAAGAAAACGTGCAGTTCTCAATTACCAAGGGGACTGCCATCATGCGTGGCACTTTGAACCCGAGGGAGTTCCTGAGGGGTGCCACCCCCGACAGACAAGTCGATGCTATCCCGGCATGCTGACGATGCCCTCTGCTCCAAGGTCCTCCAGGCCTCAGTTACGGTAAGATTCTTCCTTCTCTCTTACCTTTACTCAAATGATTTCTAACACCATGTGCGTAATAGCTTAATTCTCAATGCCTTCAGATTTTCTTTGCAGGCATGCCTTGGGCTTGGCAAGCTCATCCAAAGGATGGAGCAATCGCAACTTCAGAAGGCACAAGCTGATGAAGCCCTGATCCTTGCCCGGAAGCAGCTCCAGGAGGCGCAAGAGGCCTTCCGTTTTGAGAAGGAGGCCTTCGGCAAAATCCTCGAGAACAGCAAGGTGGTGGCCAGAGCTGAGGGTAGAGCTGAGGCCGAGAAGATGGCAGCTGAGGCTGCCAAGAAGGCTGCCGAGGACGCAGAGGCCGCCAGGGAAGAAACTGTGGCCAAGGCCCGTAGGGATGCCGTTGCTGCCTTCATCACCGAGAAGTGGAAGACCAAGGGGCCCAAGGAGTGGGTGGCTTCTGTGGTGGAGGCCTCGGTGGATGAGTGGATGAAGGGCCCCGGGGCCATGTGGCTAGCCCGCAAGGGCAAGGAGTATTATGACGGGGGCGAGTTCTTTACTCAAGCCCTCATATACTGGAGGCTAGCCCGACACATGGGAGTGGACCCGAAGGCCTTTGACCCGACGCCTCACGGTCTTCCCCCTTTCAGCCAGACACCAGAGTCCCCCTCCTTGCGGATGCTGGAAGGCCTGATCTTGAAGATTCCATGTTGATGCAGGAGGCCAGTGATGAAGAGGAAGCCGTCGGGGACCGTCTCATCGAAGCCTGCCGAGGGGGGTGCTGCTGAAGCCGATCATTCTTGATGTATTCTTAAACATTTTCTGAATAATGTTAAGTACAAACATTCATAGCTTTCGGCTTCGGCCCTGATGTAACAATTTCCTTTATACTATTTTTGGTGAAAGAATGCATTGATGTTTGAATTTTTCCCTGTTGTCTTTTTAATGAATGCTTCCACCTTTCTTTATGCTTTCTTCCTTAGTTGTATGAATGCATGTCCGCATGGTGAATTGACCGAGGGATAAACGTTTAGGACTTAGAAAATTTTTCTAAGTGTTGTCCACACGTAGGCCCTCGGTGGACATCACCTTTTATCTGTAGGAAATAGTTAGCCTTCGCCTTAAACTCCCGGGGGGTCCAGTGTTGTGGACTTAGAAAAATTTCCTTTGACTTTGCAACTAGTAGCCCTCGGTAGAAACTTAGAACTAGTTGATTTTTGACCCATTTGTAGAATAGGAGCCTCCAGTATTGATTGCAGTGCCGGAGGCTATGGGAGTGTGGACTTAGGTAATTCGAGCCCATGTCAATGAGTAGTCACCTTCGGTAGTGTATAGTGAGCGCCTTCGATCTTTGTTGAGCAAATGTGCCTTTGGGTTTGGTGGACCCCCCCCCCCCCCCCAACTAGAGCCTTCGAGGGTAACATTTGGAGGGTGGTGCATTGCGAGAGCCTTCGGAACTTTTAGGAACGCATGTTTGTTGTTGATGCCTTCATCTTTCTTCCATGCTTTCTTTCTTGAATGTCTGTTTGCACCATGAGTTGACCGGAGGCCAAATATCTAGGACTTAGAAGATTTTCTAAGTGATGTGCATTACTAGGCCTTCGATTGAAGCCTTATTTTGTGTGGATGTCACGAGTTGTTCGAGGGCCAAAGATTTAGGACTTAGAAAATTCTCTAAGTGTTGTTTACCCCTAGGCCCTCGGTTAAAGCCTTCTTTTAGGTGTATGAAATAGAGTGGCCTTCGCCCTAGGCTCCCGGGCCCCCCGACATATTGGACTTAGAAAATTCCTATGGCCCTTGCAGCTAGTAGCCGTCGGTATAAACGTGAGGTAAGCTGATTTTGACCCACTTATATGAAAGGTGCCTCCGATGTTTATTGTAGGGCCCGAGGCTACTGTTGCTTGGACTTTAACTAATTCGACCCCTTTGTAAGATTAGAGCCTTCGGTATTGGTTGAATAGTAGCCTTCGGAGGCAACCAGATTGTGGACTTGGCCACATTTTGGAAACACCTATTGAATAGTAGCCTTCGGAATAACAGCCACTGTAAAAGGTGACTTCCTGAATAAGAGCCTTCGGCATAGCCTGGACTGCCTTGTGAGAAGTATTCTTGCTAGCTGCCGATGGGTGTTTGTTGTAAATTTATACTCATTGATTGGTTGTTGAGTCTACTCCCCTTCACCCCATTTTTTTTTAGTGAAGGGAAGGCTTCAAGAAACTTGTTTTCTTGGTAAGGCTTGGCCTATCGGGAGGCAACGGTATACACCATTGGCTCTCCCCTCGGGATTAACTTTCCGGGTTCCGAGGGGATCGAGGGTCGTTTCCTCGGCCCGAGACGTTGTCTGTTGCCTGCCTCCCCTTGGGGGATGGCACAGAAAGCGCCTCAGTTTTGAAAGTCATTCCCTCAGCCCGAGACATAGTCTGTTGCCTGCCATTCCCTTGGGGTAATGGCGTGGGAAGCGTTTCGTTTTTGAAAGTCGAATTCTCGGCCCGGGACATAGTCCGTTGCCTGTCATTCCCTTGGGGTAATGGCGCGGAAAGCGTTTCAGGGAAGGTTTTTATTTGCATATTAGTTGCAAATGGCCGGAGGTACTTGGTACCCCCCGGCACCGATAGGTGGCGCCTTCGATATGGTTGCGTCCTCGAGGGGTACGACTTTATTTTTAACACTTGGTGTCATTCCTCGTATACTGCCTCCAGTGCGCGATACCTAGGGGTCTTCTTTTGAAAACACTTGGTGCCTTTGTTATCGCAGTTGATTGGAGGGTCCACCCTCGGCACTTGGTGCTAGGGGGTCTTGTTTGTGATAAGGCCTTGGGCCAGGAGCTTGTATGAGGGCTTGGCCTTGGGCCGCTCACAAGCGTTTTGTTCTCTGTATTTGGTGTCTTCAACGTATCTTTATTCTTGAAAAATTGGGGGCCTTGGGCCATTGGGTAATACATTCGTGAGTTATGAGGGCTTGGCCGCTCTAACATCATTGATAAAATTTAACCAGGTGGTGTACATTCCAATGTCGAGGGACCTCGGTCCCATTGGGGGGTTTGAGTTTGTAAGTCCCGGGCTTGATGATGGCTGCAATGATATAGGAGCTTTCAAACTTCGGAGCCATCTTGCCACCTTCGGTTGGCTGGCTAGCTTCTCTCCTTCGGAGTACATAGTCCCCCACTTGAAATTCTCGGGAACGAACCTTGGCATCGATGTAGCCCTTCACTTATCTTCGGCAGTTTTCCGCCATTAGGAAGGATTGCTCTCGGCGTTCTGAGATCAGGTGAAGGTCGAGGGCCATGTTGGCATCGTTGAGCTCAGGCTCGTATTGGTCCACCCTTTGGGTAGGAAGGGTTATTTCAGTGGGAGCTTTAGCCTCGAATCCGTAGCAAAGGGAGAAGGGTGTCTTGCCTGTTTCCCGTCGAGGGGTGGTGCGATAGGCCCATAAGATGTTGTGGAGTTCTTCTACCCAGCCTCCTCCTTCGGCTTCCAGCTTCTTTTTTAGTCCCTGCAAAAGAGTCCGGTTGGCGTTCTCATTTTGCCCGTTGCCTTGAGGGTAGGCAACGGATGAAAATGTGTGCTTGATGCCCCATGCCTCGAGGAGGGCGCAGAAAGGGGCTGCCTCAAACTGAGTTCCGCTATCGGAGATGATTTGCTGGGGGACGCCAAACCTTGTGAGGATGTTCTTGAGGACGAAGTGGTGGCACCTGGCCTGTGTAATGCTGGCGAGGGGCTCAGTCTCTACCCATTTGGTGAAGTAGTCTATGGCCACGATGATGTACCTGTTGTTGGAGGTACCCTCGGCAGCGGGCCTACTAGATCAATACCCCACCTGGAGAAGGGTATTGCTGTACTGATGGGGGCATTGTTGACTGCTGGCCTGTCAGGGGCTTTCTGGAAATGTTGGCACGCGGCGCACCTTCGGGCGAGGTCTGCACAATCCCGGGCCATGGTAGGCCAGAAATAGCCTTGGACTATGAGCCTGTGGGACATGGGGAAGGGTCCTTGGTGGGTTGAGCAAGTGCCGCTGTGCACTTCCTCCATAGCAATTTCAGCTTCATCTGGATGAAGGCACCGGAGTAACGTGTCGTTATAAGATCGCTGGTAAAGCCTCCTGTCTTCAATGGTGTAGCTGGGTGCCCTCAGCTTTGTGAGTTTGGCACGGGTTTCATCCTCGGGCAGCTGCCCTATGGAGATGAAGTTCACGATATCTGATATCCAGTCCTCAAGCCTTTGTTGTATTTGCATGATGGGGCTGACGTGTATGCTTGAGAGGATGAGTTCCTCAATTCTTGCAATCTTCGAGAGGTGCTCTGGGGACTCATCCGAGAGCTTTGATAAAATGTCAGCCTCAGAATTTTGAGCCCTCGGTAATTGAGTGAGACAATGGGCCCCAAATACCTTGAGCAACTCCTTGACCGCTTCCTTGTACTGTTTCATTCTTCCTTCCTTGGCCTCATATTCCCCTGAAATTTGGCCGACGACTAACTTGGAGTCGCACCTCACATGGAGGGCCTTCATGTTAGCTGCCAGCCGAAGGCCACATAGGAGGGCCTCATACTCTGCTTCGTTGTTGGAGACTTTGAAGGAGAAGCGGATGGCATAGTAGGCGCGGAAGCCTTCGAGCGTAATGAGAACTACCCCTCCTCTGCATGCTTTGGTAGCAGAGGAGCCGTCGGTTTAGAGGGGAGAGTAGAGGATGCTCTTTTAAGAGTCTTGTTATAGGAGACATGTGCCAATCCAAGCAATGAAATGGGGGAGAGAAGGCACAAAGAGAGCCGAGATTCAGACTAACCTTAAATCGTTGGCTGAAGGTCCCCAGAATCTTAGGAGAGATCCACGCACACCATAGGCTTCCGATTCACCATCGAAATCCAGATTCATGGAAGAAAGAGGACATTTTTGGCGAGCATCTGCGTTCAGTGGTAGGAATGATCTGACCATCACAATCCATCGTAGATGTCCAGATTCATTCGCCCAGTTCATGAGCGTCCTCCACGACCTTTCTAGAGTAGCGAACCAAACTTCGAAAAACCAACCAGTAATACCACTGAAGCTGTACAAGCAGTACGTAGGGTGGGGAAGCCATTACTGAAGAGTCAAGAATGCTGAGCGGCTAAAAGAGTTAGAGGTTTCAACGAAATAAATGAAAATAGAGTAGACATAAAAGAGCGGACAACTTTCCTCCGTAAGGATATAACGTTGAAGCAGCGAGCACGTTAACAGTGTACAACAAAGTAAACATTAAGTACAGTAAGATTAT